TATTGCAGAAATGAATGAGAACAGCAAGAAATAAACAAAAAAGAACTATGCTAAAGTAATGTTATGGTTTCCTTAAGGTAGATACATGCACACATTTTTGGGAGTAAAATTCATGTAAGTCAAGGAGGATTCTGATGTAATGTTATATTTCTGGAAGGAAGAGGCAAAATGTGGACAATGATTAAACTGATAAATGATTTTTTTTCTTCATGTCTTGAGACTTGAGAAACTGCAAGTTGCTTTTGGTGTGAGAGAATTGGCTGTCTGCAAGGACGTTGTCCTGGGGATGCCCAGATGTTTTGATGTTTTACCATTCCTGTGGGAGGCTTCTCTCATGTCCCTGCATGGGGAGGTGGAACTGATAGAGGGAGCTCATTTGCACTCTCCCCAGATTCTAATCTTGACCTGTTGGTCTTCAGTCCTGCTGGCACAAGGATTTAACCCTTTGCACCACTGCACCTCCTGTGATAAATGATTATGAAATACATATTTGTATATCAACACATGTGTGGGGAGAAATATGGAGGTTTTCTTCTTCTTGATAAGAAGGAGGGGGGGGGGGAGAATAATCAAGATTCATATTATTCTGAAGTAAGGTACTGCTCACCAGAATTGCAATGAGGTGACTAGTTGGTCAAATCTTATTTGGAACTTTAAGAAACTTTTTTTACAAGGCAAGTGCCCCAATAGATGAATACAAGAATGTTCTTTTTGCTGAATGCAAGTATTTTGTTTTGTGTAAAGTAAAGTTGTGAGGAAGGAGAACTTTATATATGTCCATTGGGCTCTTGCACACAAAGGCTGGGTGTTCTGGAAAAGGAGAGTATGCTCTACTCATGGAATTCCTCCATACAATCTGGAATAATGCAAATCAGAGTTGTAATTCAAATGGGGAACATCTATAGCTATAGGAGGTCCTTCTTTTCAGAATATGGTAAATATATCAGGAGAGATGAACCTAGCAGAATCGTTTATGCTACACAAAGTGGGAGTCTCTACATAACGTTTCAGTTGGTCTACCAATCTCAGTATATCTATACAGTTTAGTTAAGTCTTGCTAGGCTTACAGACAAGAGATTTTTCTTTTCCCTGGTCAACTTGAAGATCTTACTCTATCATTGAATTGTGAAGTTTCCATCAAGCTGCTATACGTCATTCTACTTTGGTATCATAGTTGTGGGAATATCAGACAGTAATCAGAAATACTGAACATTTCATCAAGATCTTGTTTACTGACAATGTTGTTTGGTTAACAGCTGGACATTCCTTCCCAATTAGTAGGAATGTTCTTAATTAGTAGGAAATGTGACACTCTTTTCATGTCAGATATCACACTTAAACTCTCAAATACAAAATATTGTCATTTTCCCAAGCTGTAATATTTTAATTCAATCTTCACTGTGTTTCAGAGCAGAAAAAAAATGTGGTATCTGAATGCATTTAAGAGGGCTGTCTTCTAAAGGATAAAAAAGCATTGGATTTTTATATTATTATTATTATTATTATTATTATTATTATTATTATTATTATTATTATTATCACCATAAAATAAATAATACAAATTATATATACTTTTTACAAAAAAGGTGGCATGAGTCACCAATCTGGTACTTTGGTATTGTTATTCCTTCCATTACACTATTTGCACAATCATAGAATCATAGATTTGGAAGAGATCACATGGGCTATCTGGTCCAACTCCATTCTCCCATGCAGTAAAAGCACAGATCTTACAACTGTGTGTTAGAGTTGTCCTACAATATCAAAAATAACTCACAATCTAGTAAACACAGTAACTCCATGTGAAACAGCTTCAAGAGTTCCCAGGGGAACTGTAAAACCTAAAAGGAAAGTAAGAGCTCTTCCAACTTTTTATCTCCAGAATATATCTCCAGTCATTCTCTCACTCTAGAATTCTGTTATTGCATGATGATTAAATAGAGGATGAAGAGCAGATCTGGAACCATTAGCTTAAACCTGGCTAAGTGTGGGGTTGTTAGCCACCTTGAGTCCCTGCAGATAACAACATATTGTCTCATATTGTTGTTATAAAGATAACAACAATATGAGACAAAGGGTGCAACAAAGAATTCCAGAAAAACTCTTGAGTTTTTTGACCTGTAATCTGTTCTTAGAACAAGAGGCGGAGAAACAGAATAGTATCCAATTAGAAGGGGGGTTGGCATTTTATCACCCATTCTGTTTAACTTGTATGCTGAACATATCATGTGCAAAGGATTAGCTTTGGAGAAAGGAGGAGAGAAAATTAAAGAGAACATCTTTACCAACAGAAAATAGCTAAGACTTGGAAACATTACTAAAGAAAGTCAAGGAGAAAAGTGCAAAAGGAGGTTCAGAGTTAACATTAAGCAAACAAAAATCATGATTCTAGATGATTTACGTGATTTAAAATATACAAAGAAGACATTGAAATGCAGTAATTCAAGTTTTTCTATGGCTTAGATCAGTTATTAATCAGAATGGAGACCATAGTTAAGAAATCAGAGGACAAGAAGAACCAGGATCCTGAAATGTAAAGAAAGCTGACAGGAACTAATATGAAATGTGGTGCTGTAAAAGAGTTCTACACACACCATTGACAGCTAAAAAAGAAATGTATGGGTATCAGAGCAAAACAAGGCTGATCTCTCCCTATAAACCAAGATGACTAAACTGAGGCTGCCATCTTTTGACCATATAATGAGAAGATATATGGTAACTCATTAGAAAAGACAATAATGCTTGCCATGGTAGAAGGCAGTAGGAAATGAGGAAAATATCATTCCAGATGGAGAGACTCAATCAAGGAAGCTACAACCATGACTCTGCAAGAACTGATATCACCATAAGTAAACGTTAACCTGATTGCAGTTGACAACACCAAAGAGCAACACATGGTTGCTTCATCTTCATTAACTTGAAGTTAACAAAATTCTATAGGAAGCATAGTATTTACAAATTAATCTATGCCATTTCTATGATCAAAAATCTCATAAATATATTGATTCCATATTTCAGTAGTATTTGATACCAGCTGAAGTTCAGAAGTTGTGTTCACATTATACAAAGATGTACAAAATATGTACAAAACAAACATAAATATGTACAAAACAAACTTTCTAGTCCACATTACATCTGCCCATTCCTGAATCTTTCCCCCCACCATTGATGTTACTACAAAACCTTCAAAAATTTAAGGCAGAAATTTATAATGTACCTTGAATTCATTGAATATTATGTTGATTACTACAGGTAATTGCTTTTCTCTGTGTTTTCAACTGTCAGGTGTATATACATATCATTGAAACTTTCAGAGATTTGCTGCAATGGACTTATGGGAATTCCTAAAATGATAGTTATAATTACAACATATCCCAGAAGCCACAGCATCCTTGCAGGTCTTCATAATTCCCCATGAATAATCATATAAGCACAGAAGTACGCCACAGTAAAGGTGTCATTAATATCAAAAGGGGTGTGTCAATGAATATCCTGTATAGGGACCTCTAAAACAAACATAATCAAGTTATCATCAAAATCAGGTTTTTTGGGTGACCTTGTAAGAGACCCAGTAACAGAACCCTTGTGAGGATAATGCAAGTTTGAACTCATTCAAGGAAAGGCCCCTGTATATTTCTGCTTATATGCTATATTGACAACGAATTCTAGAAAATATTGTGAAAGTGGTTCTTGAAAAACTCTTTAAAAGTCCTCTGTGCTCAAAGTACTTTACATCCTTCTGTTGGGCCCTCTGTTGATCGTACATTTCTTTCCTTTGCATCCCCCCCCCCCCCGCGCGCTTTTTGTTTTTTTTGACAAGAGAAAAATTGATCCAAACATTTAAAGAAAGGGGTCCCAGTTGGGAATATTGGTTTCTGAAGGAATTCTAAAAGTAATTCTTGTAAGTACATCACATTGTTTCATTTTACTGCTATTTTGAACCTTATCGATCTCTTCAAAAGCTTTTAGTGCTTTGTTCTAAATTTCTGAACTCAACCCCCCCCCCCCAAAAAAAGCTTAAATTTTAAATTCAAATGACATTTAAAAAGCATACTATGTGCATGGTTGCTGAAAATGGAAAGTCTAAAGATCTGTAATATGAAGGGTAATGCAAAAATCCATTTTCTGTCCCTTAAATAACACATTAGATAAAATAATATATTAATATGTTCTAAAAATAATGTTAATATATACACAAACTGAGGTCCATCTCTAATAGTCCTTTGGAGATGGGGAAAATCTTTGGAAAATACCCATCTTCTATACATGTCAGTCATAAGAATAATATATATCACTGAAATCATGGTTATTCATACATTCTACTCTGAATAATAGGCACAGAAATGACATTTTTCCAGTAGATGGCAGCACACTTTTGGCATTATATCAGACTCCCTAATTATTCGAAATATTCAGGAAAAAGAGATGACAGTTCTGGAAACCATACTCTGATTTTTTTGTAAAAGAAACTAGTAAACATTGCTTTAACTGTGTGACGTTTTCTAAATCTTGAGGTGGAACAGCAATAAAACAAACATTTAAAGAACTGGTTTTTACAGTGGTTAAAGGTGGGGGCTACTGCTCAAGCTTTTTGTCTTATTCAGTATGTTCAGAAAAAAAAATTAAAAGTAGAAGCCCACACAGCAGAAACAGAGAAACTTCCAAGCATTGTGAAGAAGAGTGAAATTACTTTGGGTTACATTTTGCATCACACTGTCTGAAAGTTAGAATATCTTTATTCAGACAAAGAGATCACCAAATTCTTTTTCCTGGGAAAAAGAATGCACTCCCTTCAAAGACAAGTAGGCAGCATTTTTGGGAAAATAATCAGGAACCAAAGGACTGAGATAATCTTTTGAGAGGGGAAATTTAGGATGGATTTCAGATTGAAAAACAGGAATGACAACAGCAACACTGAGCACCCCCAGCTCTTATGCAAAAACACCCCCCTGCACACAGACACACAAACACAGGCAGTTATGAGAGACGCAAGAGCTTACGTTTCGTAGAAAAGGCATGGGGTCCTTTCCCCTCTAGATGTCTGAAGCCCAAGGTTGAACTGCAGGATCAGTGAAATCCATCCTTGCTGGCACTCAAGGCATTGAATCCCTGTCCATGGTGCTGAAAACGTGATTTCATCAGAACAGCACACTTCTGTTTCTTCAGAGGCAGAAACTGCAAGGCTGAGTGCCTCTGTTCCCCCTGCTCCAACAGTACGCGTAGCTAGGGATAAACTGCAACATTGTTATCACCTTTGCTTGAAGAGGGAAAAATTCCCAGGGATGTGAAGGGAATCCAGTGTGCAGGGCTGATGCATGCTTTCTTTCCTTCCTTGCTCTTTTACTTGCTGCTTTGGTAATGAGGTAGCTGAACCTCCCTCCCATCTTACTCTCGTGACCCCAGCCTCCTCCATCTGAGCATGGGAGTTGCAGTCTATAGCCGTCTACTTTGTGTTCAATTAGTTTATAATGCAATTATTCTAGAAACAAAAAGGAGGGGAAGAAGTTGTTCCCATTCACTGTTTTCATGGCTGGAAAACAAAGAGCAAAACAAGGAACCATTTCTCCCAGACATTAAAGGAAAATGCCTGGCAAAAATAATATTTTGCAAGCATCAAAAATTTTATTACACACACACCTCTTGTATAAGTTACATCTAATACATCTAATACATCTAATCTAATAATTATTATCTTTGTTATCTCCTTGCATTTCATAGCAATATTCTTTGCTTTGTTCTTTTGATTGTACCCCGTGGTATCATTTAATTCTCAAAAACAGCTATTCAACTCTGTGGAGCTGAAGAAAAGTAATTTTAGCAGGTCATTATCCTCTGAAGCTAGCAAAAAGCATTTCACACATGGTCTGTGTTGATTCACATATGTAGAGTCTGTAATGTGGAAATAACCCTGTCAATTTGTCAAGAATAATCTGATGTGGGGTACCACCAGATTTTCCTATCAATGTGCTATGGACTGATACCATATTTGGGGTGACTTTTGTTTCATCCATTCCCTGATATTATCCAGGGATGGACATCTGATGACTCATGGACCAGCACCAAAATATGGACCACCACTTTGAGAAGCATTGTTATAGAACACCGTGTATTAAAAAAGGGTTAGGCACATTTTGGTCATCTCATTATCCTCCACCCATATTTTTTGTGGTAAGGTTACCTGACCACAGATTCCTGGTTCTTAACACCCTTCTCTTATCAACCAGCTAAATAAGCTTGCAAGTAAGTTTCTCATTATCAGTAAAACAATTTAGAAAAGATGTTACCAAAATCCTTTTTTGCGCTATATATGAATTCAACTAGTCTTCCCAGGATTTACGAACTCCCCATAGTTTATAGGCAATTCTTCTGTTCTTCCTAGCAGTAGGAATAGAAGAGGACAATTTCTCCACATTTCACTATTCAACTCAACAACAAACTAACACAAAGAATTCCCTCCTTCGTATGATCATGGTAGGCATATTTTTTATGCTTTATTTTGCAAATATCATGGCATAAGCCACATTTTCTTTTTGAAAGGGGAAAACATTTTACTTAAATAACAATTTCTACTTGTAATAACAAAGATATATTTCACATTTCTTTCATAGAATTGTTTGCTTAATAATATAATACAGCCATTTTCAACTTGCTGCTCCTCAAACGTAATGGGTTTACAACTCTCCATCAGTCTTAGATTGTACAGTATACAATTGCATGCTGTCTGTTATGAAAATTTCTCAAGGAAGCATAGAAATAAGTAAGGAATTGATGAACTGTTAATTTAAATAGATGCATCAGAAATCACACGTTTTGCAACCAATCAGATTTAGAGGACATGGTGTGAACATCTTTATAGCACCTAACAGGGTTGAGATTAGGTCGATGTTTTACCAGAACAACATTTAATATAATTTTAATAGGTAGACACAGTAATCTAATGTTCTGTATTTATAATTTATTGAACAATTCCACAATTTTTTTTACAGAATTCATGTGCTGTACTAATTTGAGATATCTACATTCAAGTCATCAGTCCACTATGAAATTCACTAGGGTAGTATAGTCATACTACATCACTATACTACTATGATTCCACTTTAACCACTATGGCTACATTCTATGAAATCATAGACATTGCAGTTTAGTTAGAGGCATGAGAAGAGCTTGCTGTCTGGGGATTCAAAGACCCTAAACCATCAATCCCATAGAATAGTAGTTCTCAACCTGTGGTTTCTCAGGTGTTTTGGCCTATAACTCCCAGAAATCCCAGCCAATTTACCAGCTGTTAGGATTTCTGAGAGTTGAAAGCCAAAACATCTTGGGACCCACAGGCTGAGAGCCACTTCCATAGAATGAAATCGTGTAAGTGGAATCACAGCATTATCATTGTGCAATGTGAAAGAGACTCTAGTGATCTTGGGTCAGTCACTAGATTTAAACCAAACAGAATTGTTATAAAGATTAAGTAGGGACATGTAAAGCCATATAACTCACCTTAGACTCATTGAAGGACAATCAGGACAGAACTATAACCAATAGATAACAATAATTCCAGAGACAAAAACATTGCTAAATGTAGACCACATCTTGAAAGTAAGATACACAGAGGACACTGTGAATATAAGAAACGTTTTATCCACACCTGCTGAGTAATGGTTTCTACTAGAGAATTATATTCCAATGTTCTTCAGGATAACATGGTGTGTGTGTATGGTGGGAGTGTAGGGAAGCAAGGATACACTTTATGGTACCACTGTCTCACATTTTATCTGCATTACTTTTTCCCAACTGTCCAAATGTGGAACTGATTGTCTACAGCAGGAAGACAAATCAAGATTCCCTGTGCAGATTTAAATTCTGTGAAATCCAGATTTAAAATTAAGTGATAGAATAAATTATAAAAAGAACTTGTAGCAGTTCCACCTATAATACATGGGAGCCTGTAAGAATAATGGATGTAATGGAAGATCAGAAGTCAATGAACACATTCCACTTTTTCTATTATGCAATTCTAATCACATGGATTTCCCCCTGTTATGGCTATAACTTGATTCAGTTCATCCATTCCTCCCTTAACGCCCCTTTTCACAGAATTTGGGAATTGGAAGAGATACCAAGGGTTTTCCAGTTCAGGCTCCTGCCATGCAGAAACACAAAATCAAAGCACTCTCAACAGATGGCCATTCAGCTTCTGTTTAAAAACATCCAGAGACAGAGGCTCCATCACCCTTCAAGGCAGTGTATTCTACTGTTGAACAGCTCTTACCTTCAGGAAGTTCTTCCTAAAGTTTAGGTATCTATCTGTAATACTTGATAGCATTGTTTAAAATATGTAAAGAGAGTTGGGTTATACTTAGCTCAAACTGCCCCCATTTCCACTGGATGATCAGAGAGGTTATCCTGTGTCCCTATATCAGTGCTGTTTTATGTTGTTGCAGTGTTAACTGAAGTCCATCTGTACCACTTCTTAAAGAGTTTTCAGGTTAAGGCACTCAGACAGTTTGTGCTCTTCCAAATGTTGTTGGACTTCAAGTCACATTGGTCCAAGTCATAATAGCCAATAGTGAGGAATGTTAGAAAATGCACTCCAGCAACCCCTAGAATGGTGCAATTTACTTTCAATCCTGCTGGATTCTCCAGTAGGATAGAATAGCATAATTATGGAAAGCCTTTTAAAATTATTGTTGCTTTTATTGAACAGATGTAACAACTAAGAGAGCAAGCTACAGAGTGATTGCTGTTGTTTTTGTTGGAGGGCTGCAGTAGCTAAATGACTAAACAGTCAAATCCCAATAATCAAGTGCACAAGCTCAGTAGGCGGTTTTAGGCAAGACACTGTTGGCTCAGCTTCCCAATTTGAACATTATTGTAAGTATTACCAAGACAGTGTGCATAATCTCTTTTGGGCATTTCTATTGCTCTCTGTTTCATTTACACAGGATTTCCATTTCTCATCAGAAATATCTATATACTTCTTCTAATGTAATATCTGCAGTTATTCAACAGCACAAACCAAATAATTACAAGTTCATGGGCCATAATATTTAATATTATTGACATATTTGTTTTGTAAAACTATGAACACATAATTATCTAATATGATTTGAATGGGAATTCCATTATAAATATTGGGTTTCAATTAAATACATGTTTATTAGTTTTGCCTGTTCATGTGATCATTTGTTTTTCATTCCTATAGTAATATTTCCTATTTCTTTCATACTAGAGAATACTTTTCTCTTTTCCATTAAAAACAGCAATATTGTATATATTGCCAGATGGCCAGTCTTTCTCTTGGGTATATATTAATTTAGCTCTGATATTTTTTTTCTCATTTCCCTTCTGTGTTCTTTCCCTCCATTGCTTTTTCTCTTCTGATTTTATGCAACGTTTCCTGCATTCCTTTCTAGTATGTTTCAAAACTCTCCAGAGCTATTTTGTCCCCTGGCAATTTATTCCTCCCTCCCCTTTAGTATCTTCTTAGATTATATGTTTTAAGAATGTATAGAATATGTGGGATGTATTTCTACGAGATTAACTCACTGCAAGACTGGAATAACATATCTGCTATACAGGCATAGGGAACACCAAGCACGTATGTGGATTTAGTATAAGCATGTTGAACACTTGAAACCACTCACACCCTTAAAAAAACCCAGAACGAATCTACAGATTAAAAAAAAATTGTATAAATAAATAAAGATACAAATGCACTGACCTTGACCCAGAGTCCTTCTCCTTTGGATGAAATCTTTGTATTGGATCCAGGAGAACTTTATCAAGAATGGAAGAGGAAGGAAGTGGTTTTTACACCTTCCTCTTGTAATTCTCTATGTGCACAATCATAATCTGAGTATTTCTGGAATAATGTGTGTGATCTTTCTATGAGATAGGAGAGTTGAGGCTATTGAAAAATTACTTTGTTACTCTATGAGCCCACAAGAGCTTCAAGATTGCTCTCTGTCCCAACCTCTTTGCAGCCCCTTGACTATGGAACTCCCTCCCCAGTGACATCAGGCACGCCCCATCCCTCCTAGTTTTTAGGGGAAAAAAAAAAAGACCTGGCTTGTTATACAGGTGTTTGGTGAATAGGAAACTACTGAGTAAGACTTAATAGCTTGAATAATGAACTGTGGATTTTGGAAGACGATTATGGATATGAGGCAATAACTCAGCATTTTATATGGTTTGAATGTTTGTTTAATTGATATGTATCTTAATTATTATATATTTAGATTGTTTTATATTTTGATGAGTTGTGTTTTATTGTTTACCTGTGTGGCATTGAATTTTTGACAGATTTGTAAGCTGCCTTGAATCGCTCCCCCGCCCCCGGAGTCAAAAAAGGTAGGGTAGAAATGATGTAAATAAATAAATGAATAAATATTATAAACCTCTTTCCAGTCCTGTAACAGGACTGGAAAG